AACACAGTGGTATATAAGCCAGTCTGTTTCTTAATAAATCCCACATACCTGATAACAATGTCTGGGACAAAACGAAATTATGACACTGCTTTCAAGCTTAAAGTAATCGCCTTCGCAGAGGAGAAGGGTAAACATGCCGCCGCGAAAGTGTTTTGTGTTGACAGAAAACGAGTGCGGGACTGGTGTCAAAACAAAGAAAAATTAAAAAATCTTTCTAAAACATCTAAATGCTATAAAGGAGGTGGAAGGCATGTCAGATATGAAGATATTGACAAAAATCTGATGAGATGGCTACAGGTCAGAGGGGAGGCCGGAATACGAGTGACTGGGAAAGCATTGCGGTTGGAGGCCCTGCGTATGCATAAGGTAAATGGTAGTCAATCGTTCAAAGCCTCATATGGATGGTTTTCTAAATTCAAAAAGAGACATAACATTTCGTTCAGGCGATCTACGCATGTGGCACAACATGAAGTTTCATTAATTGATGATCGTATTGACAGTTTTTTAAATTTCATGTTAAGAATGCGTCGGCTACGAGAATACCCCGATAGCCATATCGCTAACATGGACGAAACCCCGGTGTGGTTTGACACGCCAGGAAAATCGACATTGGCAATAAAGCGGGAAAAACAAAAAATAACGGTGACACTGGCAGCATATGCCGATGGGACTAAAATCACCCCCCTTGTGCACATGCCAGGCATTCGTCCCCTTCCGAAAGATGACATACCAAGTGGTATTGTGGTAGACATGTGCGGGGCCAGACAAAAATCCTGGGCAAACGAGGAAAGTATAAAATTTTGGTTAAAAAAACTCTGGGGTGTGAATAATATAGCTAGGTGGTTATTAGTATGGGACGCTTTCCGTGGTCATCTTACTGAAGATGTAAAAAAACTGGTTCGTCAAAAATATAATTCTGACATCTGTGTTATACCCGGAGGATGTACATGTAAGCTACAGCCAGCCAATGTGTCGTGGAATAAACCCTTCAAACAAAAACTTGGAGAGTTGTATGACGAATGGTGTTTCAGTGGCCCCATTGAGAAAACCAAAGCAGGGAATCGTAAAGCCCCATCTAAAGCTGTAATGTTGTCTTGGGTCAAGACAGCATGGGATAGCATTAGCCCGGACACAATCAGAAGATCGTTAAAAAATGCGGTATCACCAATTCGCTGGACGGTAGCGAGGATCACATTTTCCAGCATGATTCTGACAATGAGGAATTCCAGGGGTTTAGTGAAAAGGATGTCCAAGCTGCAGATGACGTTTTGCAAAATTTAATGGGTGATGTGAACGCGCCTTCTATTCCAAAAATAGAACTGAGTGAAAGCGAGACTGGCGAAAGTGAAAGTGAAAGTGAGGACAGTAGTTTGTACGGCAGTATATTGAAATGAACTGTGGATTAAATTGATATTACTTGTGTACATGTCGTGACAGTGTAATTTTCTTGTGCCAAAATTCATTTGTTCATGTTCATGGATACCAGGAATTTAAAATTTATTAAAAGGTAAGCTTTGTAACCTGACTCCTGAGTTGTTGAAATTTACTGAGAATACAGGTGGGGGGCATTTATTAGAGACGGGGCGTTTATTGGAATAAATATGGTAAGATGTACATTAGAAAAGCAAATTAACCCTGAAATAGAGTTCAGAAGCTATGGGCCCTGTAGGTTATCTCAGGCGATAGGATTGACAGGCACATAAAAATATCACTGTTACCATTTGTTATTTTCAGAGGGATTCTATTTTTCTCATTTTCAAGGATGGAATAAAATGAAGAAAAAAGATATCTTGAAAAATACGACTATAAAAATTTGAACTTTAGAAAATAATATTAAAATTGAAGTACAGGAGGAGTAGACAGGATGACATGTGTAACACTAAATGACCCTCGCCTAGCTTGTGATCCGCCATGATCCGCCTAGCTTGTCATCTGCCTGGCTTGCTTGGTTTCATATGTTTATCAGATCAGAAATATTCTATGAATTTTTTGATAACCATCACATGTAAAAGAATATCTTCATTATTCATGTTTATACACACAAACAGAGCTGTTGACGTCAAGAGGAAACTGTGCAGGAAACGTAGCCGTGATTAAGCGACATCGGAAACACTTCATCTGCCAGAGGGTTAAAGTAGTGTTTCTCCATCCAGCACTGTTTTCCCTGCCTATTACAGGGTCTTTCTCACAAACCTAAATTCTGTATCAATATACACAGACATGAATGTACTAACCTTATTATACAGAAATCATTTCAACCATCGAAACAAGAGCCACGTGGCCTTGAAAAGCTTACAAACTATCACACTTAGTTCCTTATAGTAGTGATTCAGGACGGCAGCAAAAATTGAAAAATTTGTAACGTTTTTCGTAAATCACTTATCCAATGGAAACAAATTTAATTAATTTGTGATCTGTGAGAATGTGACATTACTCCATAATCTTAACTCGAAAATACAAAGAATCTTACCTGAATGTCAATCACGGATCAACAATTTGATATGTCACATGCCTGTTGGCAAATGACATAACAAATTATATTAAGTTTAATCAATGCTATGTTACATTGGTAAGAGTGTAAGATTCTATTTATCATATAAGTCATATAAAATAATTCTGTATAAGGCTGACCTATGCCATATTGGAAGGCACGTTTTTCACTACAGAGACAATCCTTTGACATCACCAAAGCAATGATTTAATTACATAAATGTCATTACCGACCTGTCTTACAATACTCAAGACATGACTGTATGACAAGACCCAACAAAAAAGCCAATTATGTGATAACGTGTTATATATTATATATACATGTGCAATATTCTTTGAATAACGAGGCAATATTGTGATATTATGTGTTAAAATTAAACCCATCTTACAGTCACTGAAGGTCAGAGTCATTTAAATTAAGATGAATACTGCCAAAAGTCATTGTTCTGATGAAAAACTTGAGATTAATCTCCTGTCAGTTTAATCTAAGTGTAAGATATTTGGGAAATTCGGCATCTCTGTGTTTACATGCAGTATCACTGTAGGAAATCATGCAACCTAAAGTGTACTAATGAAATGGCGAACAAAAATAATGACAAAGCAGTTTGGTCGGGCATGTGTCTATACTGTATGTGTCTATGCTACATGTGTCTATACTGTATGTGTCTATGCTACATGTGTCTATACTGTATGTGTCTATGCTACATGTGTCTATACTGTATGTGTCTATGCTACATGTGTCTATACTGTATGCGTCTATGCTGTATGTGTCTATACTGTATGTGTCTATGCTACATGTGTATATACTGTATGTGTCTATGCTACATGTGTCTATACTGTATGTGTCTATGCTACATGTGTCTATACTGTATGTATCTATGCTACATGTGTCTATACTGTATGTGTCTATGCTACATGTGTCTATACTATATGTGTCTATGCTACATGTGTCTATACTGTTCGTGTCTGTGCTACATTTGTCTATGCTACATGTGTCTATACTGTATGTGTCTATACTGTATGTGTCTATGCTACATGTGTCTATACTGTATGTGTCTATACTGTTTGTGTCTATATTGTATGTGTCTATACTGTATGTGTCTATACTACATGTGTCTCTACTGTATGTGTCTATACTGTATGTGTCTATGCTACAGGTGTCTATACTGTATGTGTCTATGCTACATGTGTCTATACTGTATGTGTCTATGCTACATGTGTCTATACTGTATGTGTCTATGCTACATGTGTCTATGCTACATGTGTCTCTACTGTATGTGTCTATACTGTATGGGTCTATACTGTATGTGTCTATGCTACATGTGTCTATACTGTATGTGTCTACGCTACATGTGTCTATGCTACATGTGTCTATACTGTATGCATCTATGCTACATGTGTCTATACTGTATGTGTCTATACTACAAGTGTCTATACTACATATGTCTACACTACATGTGTCTATACCAACTTTTCTAGTGGCCTTCAGCAGCCATCAAGGAAATTTATTTTGGTATGCTTTTGCTCAACTATATTTAGATCAAACATTACAACTTTAGGCCTCATAATTCTTCATTTTCAACTTTTTCTTTTATGGCTGTTGGTTCACAAGTGGGGAGTTTTTACTCGGGCAAGCTACAAAACGAACAGTACCCGAGACATTTAGTTGATAACTAGAAAATATCTCTAAGTTATAAATGTTGCCTTCTCCTGCATATTTGATAAAGTTCTATTAATAGTGTTGGTGACCTTGACCTTGGAACAAAAACCTCATGCCAGGTATTGTCATAGCTTATGTTTTGATAAATGTACAGAGATGTATTATCTTTTGGATAAAATTTTATGGTATTTTACAATGAAATACCTTTTGCTAAATGCATATGTCAAAATGATTCCTCTAGGTGCTGATAGAGTTTATTTGTAGACTTTTAGAAAATATTTGGTGGCAATGACCATGGTTATAGTCGAAGCCATTTCAATTTCAGCAAACTTGATGGCTTGCTGTACCCACAGATATTGATCAGGTATATAATCCATGAGATCAAATACCATTACTGCAAACCTTTGGTTCCTCATCATATCTTGGTGCATTTGACCCCTATGAATTTTAAAACATGTGTCAAGGTCATTTCTTTGAACAAATTTGAATTCCCCTGACTATTTCGACCCATGACCTTGAAAGTTAGTCAAGGTTTGACTTTGAACAAAACATTTAGCTATTCATATATATATATATATAGGAATATCAAAATATTATGAACCTTTGCATTACAGTAACTTAGAAATGTAATTGCAAAAGTAAGTTTTAGCAACAGATACCTTACCATGGCATGTGATAACATCATTAGATCTATTAATAGTCCTGTACCCATACTCATCCAAGTAATATAAAGTATCGTCTGCATACCCTTCACTGATGCTAAACTTGCCTCACGCATACATGTATAACATAATTATAAACCTTTATATATGGACAAAAATATCATTATACACATTTAGCCCCATCAACAACACTGCACGCACCAATATGTACAAATATCGCAATCTGTAGGACGAAAAAAGATCTCCGTGAGGCCAACAAAAATGGAGACATCACAAGGAATTTTTCGTAAAATCACTGTTGAAAATCAATGAGGATTAAAAAGATTGAATTTTAATTACATCCAAGTCTGGGGTCTTCAGTTACAGCTATACGCCTATACGTGAATCAAGTGTATATACAGGACTGACATATTAGTGCATATGTCGTTAGATACAGAATGGATCGTTAAAAATGAAGAGAGACATTTGGTTCACGTAAGTATGTGAGTTTTCATGTTGCCATCAAAAAATGAATTTTGAAAACCTATTTTTATTCATAATAGTAATTTTTACTTGTCATTCCGCAATGTTAAGATTCTCATAAATGTACAAGTTCACAGCCAGTTGAAAGCCTAGTGTCTGTGTTAACTAGTATTGATTTATCAAAGATGCTTATATCATATCTTTTACGTTACTGTAGTAATTACGTAACCTTCATGTTCGCATGGATATGCATTATATCTGACAGAATTCAACTTTAACATAATCACATCTTTCATCATATACTTTCAGTCAACTTTATTATACTTTTTTCCTTATTTTTTTAAAAAATTTATTTTATCATATTTTTTTTTTCTTCCGTATACTTGAAAAAATAGAAAAACAAACAAAAAATGAAAATGAGACATAAAATTTCACATGTGTGCAATCATATCATATCGGCTATATCTAAAGTACCAGAAAGGACAGTTAAAATAAGTCACTCAAACATTTTTGTTGCATGCATTAATCCTACTTATCTAATGGAAGAAATTTGCTGCGCCAGCATGTGCTTTTTTCTTAAAAATAGAAACAGAATTCATGTTTAATTTTTTCAAGACATTTGTATTGGCTAGATAAAGCAATGAGTACTTTAACAATGTATATATATATATATATATATATTTTTTTTTTTTTTTATCCATTTCAGAGATAAAATCAAATCTTGAGAGGTATACTAACTCCGCAGTCAACATAATAAACAGGGAAATTAAAAATAAGCAGACTCAAATATTCATATATCAAGATATCAATATGGGAACTGAATGCTGCTTTGCCATTTTGTGTCGAATGTGCGATTCCCTGATAGAGAGAACATGGCGTTTCTGTTGTGGTCTTGCTTGTTGTAATTGTAAGTGCCCATGCTGTTCGACGAACCAATGCCAAGAAATGACTTGTCAATGCCATTTCTGTGAACCTGAACTGGATGAGGATTATGAACCTGGAAATCTACATGAGGTCAAAGTCACTGCGAGCCCTGTGACCTATACCTGTGATGACCTTGACCAGACATGTATGGTATGCTGTAGATATCTATCCTGTGTTCCCTGCTGTGCTTTCATATGTAAAAAATGCTCAAACAGCCATTACTGTCCCAAATGTCTCCATAACAATTGTTGTCTAGCAAGAGATAGGGACATTTTGAAGGAGATGGAAATGTTGGAAAATTCGATACCTGGGGCATATAGAAAAAGTGCTTCACCACAAAAATCAAGCAAGGATTCACATCTGTATCCCAAAGAATTGACGGGAAAAACCTGCCTGGTTTCGGCAGATAATAACCATGGTAACGATTCAAAAACCAGCAGTCTACGATCAAAGGCAGAAAGTGAAGAAGAGGAGATTAATCGTGAGGATGGCCATTACCGTTATTCTTGTAATGCAAAAACGGAGACCACTACAACAGCAATAATAGAACAGCCGTATTCTGTAGATCTGTGTGGTGCAACAGACTCGAACTGCATGACCAACAATAAGGAAACAAATACTGAACATTTTAAAACAATCAGCAATGACACAATCAATCAAGTTCACCAAACCAAAGCAAGAAAAATTGCCAGAAGTATGGATAGCATAGAATTTGATGAGCTATTTGGCTCGGATTCTGCGAGTATCAATCAAGGTGGCCGTGGTTACCATGGTGACAAGGTCAAATCCAATGTCAAAGTCAGGTATAGGGATATGTGTACTAACGGTATGGAGATTATCGTTACTGATTATGATTACGGGAAGAAGCGCAGTGATAGTATATCTTCTGGATCCAGCGTTGGGAGTCAGTCGACAGAACAAAATCAGGAAATGGGCCAACAGGAAATGGACAGTTCTACGGAAAGTGAACAAACACTAGGGGAAAACCAATGTGATGAAGACATGTATAAACCTATTGTTGTGGAAACAAGAAATATATTAATAACAAACCATCGACAGACTTCTGTGTAAATAGTGTTTCATTGATATACATAAGAGTTACCATTATTTAATATATTTCAGCATGTCAGACTGCGTACTAATTACTTTTTGATACATGGACAATATACCGTATAATGTGCTTGTTTTCATACACTTTCTATAGATCAAGTATTCAGTATACATACAGATATGGTATACATGTGATAGATTCGTAAACCCAAATTCACAGTGCATTCATTGAATGCATCTATGAATCTATACATATTATTGTTTTATTGTTAAATTCTACAGAAATTCATTACCAATGTTTGGTTTTTCTGTCACAGAATGACATAATTTACCTTTCTACATCAAAGTCATACAGAGACTTCCTTTTAACTTTCCTTGTTTGTCTGATTCAAACTTATTGATATTTCTAACTCTCCGGCACCAGCCAATCAAATACAGTGCCTGATTAAAGTAACATGGACTTCAACATTTTTTATCTAGGAAATAAAAACAACCGAAGAATCACAATTTACATTTTCCTTTTTCTTTCAATAAATACTTTTGATAATTTTTTTTTGGAAAGGGTCTGAATCCCTTTAGAACTGAACATGTTACAATGATATCGCTGGATTGACATTTATATATGTATTTTAAAATGGTACTGAAGACCTTGACCTTTGAACCCTTATATGAACTCATAGAAAAGTTTCTTATGTATGAATGGGCAATCTATGCATGGTTTGAATCAAGAATTGCAGTAAGTGACATTTGTGATCTTATGCTAGGTCAAGGTCATTCATTTGAGCAAACGTAAAAATCTCATCTATCTCAGCATGCAAATTATCCAACAATATGACCAGGAGCCTTCTGGTTCCTTATACACTCACCCACACCTCAGTCCTGTGCTAATGTCAAGAATTTGAACAACATCTTCAAAACAATGTAGATGCATAGCTTACATGTATTAAAAATCATATACATTTACAAAATCATCAAACTGTCTTTTCGTAGATTAAATGAGAGGTCCAGTGGGTTGGTGTCATTCACCTGTTCTGCATCTAATGAAGAAAAGATCTAGTTTGCTGAAAATGTTATTCATGTAAAATTTAAAGTTAAATCCAATCTGAAGTGTGCCAGGGGAAGTAACTCCTAAACAGAGAACTCTAGACCATGCTATATAGGAATTACAACATGTCAACACAATACTGAAATTTTCATTGTTGAATGCAAATTAATTTCGTAGAGTGTTCATGTATGTATGTGACTATAATTCGCTTTTAGTTATATTTGATTTTAAATAATATCAAGGAATATATTTCAATCATTTATCTGTCAGTTTTGTGTTATAATCTGTTTCACATATTTGGTAGTTTTACAATAATAGCACTGACTGTATATCCATTTTCTCACTCTTCTGAAAATTTAAATCTATTGAAATTCAACATTACCAAATAAAGATTAAATAACATATAACTTTGAGACCAATGTAAACCAGTAAATAAAAACATTGCCAAACCTGCATTTATTTGATCAATAAATATATATACAGTTAAGTAATATACATTGTGTAAATAATTGTTTACTGGTATAAATATTGAAAAAAGTACCTGTTACAGGCTTTTAGTGCTATTAGAGCTAAAACTCACTCTAGGGTCCCATCCCTCAGGCCCCAGACCCTTAAATAATACAAAATTGGTTTACTTTCATTGAAGGATTCTTTATCCTTACAGAAGAAGCTGAATATTCATGCTATTCATCTATTGCCTCTATTGGGCCCTTTAAAGCAACCCCCTCATGACCCAGACCCTCAATTTATACAAAAGTAGTTTCATTTTCCCAATAATGCTTCAGACCAATTTGGACAAAGTTTTGTCATTTCTAAAGAGGAAGAAGGATTTTATACCTTTTCCTCATTTTTCCCCAATTGGACCCCACCCCTCAGGCCTAAGACCCTAACTATCTATACAAAACTGTTCCCCTTCTCCCAAGCTTACTTCTAAAATTTGAACAGATGAAGACTGATTTTAAGAAATTTGTCAGAAATTGTGTCCCCATCCCCCAAGGATGCTTCTGACCAGATTTGGACAAAACACTGTGATTCCTGCAGCTAAAAAGTCAGGATCTTAAAGCAATTTCTCCATTTCCCCTATATAAGTCATTAAGATCATGTGAGCCAAAAACAATAAACTTCATTTGTTTTATAACAATTAGAAAACAAACAATCAGCTTATATTAATCACTCTTATTGGCCCAGATGATAGCATACCAGAAATCTTACTGTGGGTGGAAACTGAGTATGTGAGGAAAACACATGGTTGAACTTTGACCTGTATATAAATAACAATTACATCAAGCAAGTAATTCAGGGGAAATGATGTGGATAGTTTGTGTAATATTTGACATTGCAGGTATTTGTTTTCTAATATGAATTAATAAAGAGCTCTAAGAAAAGGTCCTTGTACACAGAAGTAGTTGTAACAACGTTGTCTTTGCTTATAAAATTTAGCCAATGGGAGATAAATACGGCCTCTACTGCAGAGTTTATGTGTAAACAAATAGCTGTGTACATGTGTGACCTACCTAATGCCAACACTAACTACACAGAAAGTGTGCCATGAAGCATGACCTGCTGACTATGAGACACACTGGCAATTCAGTTTGTAGGAGTCACTCGGATAACCCGACAGGAACATCAGATACAAAATACAGCCCCTTAATACAGGAAGCACATCAATAACTATTTGTGGAGATCAACTCCTACAGAGGTAAGATTAGATCAATACCTGTGGATAATCTGGTCACATAATCTATGTGTGTGTGTGTGAATGAAAGTAATCAGTAGGTTGAATGTTCATAACAACACTGAGGAACTGATTTTTAAGAAAATTATACTTTAACATTAATATACTTTGTCCATGTATGGTAACTGACCGTCAATTGACTTATTCTGATGAATGTAACAGACAAGGCAGATACCTATGATTTGTTTTGGTTGTTAGCTGGGTTATATCGCCCTGTGAACACCCAGGGTCGTTTTGAGGCAGGGTTTTCTTGCAGTAGGTGGTTGCTACTTCACTAAACAACATACAGGAGGTCCACTGTAACGGTCACCCATTATGCATACATATACAATGCAGGTAAAGTGTCTTGCCCCAGGATAAAACCGAGTCAGCACAGACCAGTTAAAAATGACAACTGAAACTTATTTTTTTTTATTTATAAGAGAAACAGACTTCAATGACAGGGTATACATAATCACTTAAGTAACACATCAACAACTGAGTGAAATTATATGTACACATACTTCCTATACCCAAGCAAGCTAGCTTAAATACAGAGTTCATATACCACAAAGTGGCTAGGTCAACTAACTCGCTTCCAACATACATATACATCACATGAGGCTAAAATGATAAAATAACAGATCCTAGAACCATAGGTTAGATGATGAAATAAACCACTCTGCATATCTAACTCTCCTTCTATCTCTTCCATTGTGTTTTATATTTTCCCAGCTGGTCCAAAAATCAAATTTTTGAAAAAATGTTTTTTCAATAAACCCCATGCAGATTATGAAGGCACATCAAATTCATTACACTTTACTAATATAATACACACAGTCATCTGTTTTATCTGAACCTACATATAAACTGTAATATAATGCACAGTCATCAGTTTAATATAACATATTTTCAGTGAGGTATGTGTTGTATCCTGTGAAAACAAGGTAGGTATAATTTCTGGTTTTCACCACACCCACATGTACATGTGACCACTAAATGTTAAACCTATCATCAAGGATTGATATATACATCTTGTCCAATAATTACCCTTATTAATTATCATCTTGAATGAAAATTTTCTACATACATATATCATTGTAACCCTAGTAAATAATAGCTAGCAGAAACATACTGCTCAATATGGGAGAACTTCTCTTTATCTTGATAAGACTAATAATCAGAGGACCTCGGTTCAAATCCAAGCAGAGGCATTGACAAATAATGACATCTGTTACTTTATCATGACAGCAGTACCTGTTACACTTGACTGAAAACCAATAGCCTATTGCATGAATAAAAACAAGTGACAACTAATGTACCATAGTGAGCCAGTGTAGAACAAGGAACATACATCACCGTTATACCAGGAAATCAAGGTTTGTCCTCCCCTAATATGGTAACAGGTGGAAGTCATTACATATTAAATATAAAAGTTGACATGAACATCACACAGGACAGTTGGATAATACATCACCTTGGTGAATACTTGGCACTACAGGTTAGTAGGTTTAACTCAGGTCGTGTAGAGCTGCAGTAATACTTAAAATCACAGATAGCGTACAGGTAAGATCTGTAGGCAAGGACTACATAACTCACAGGTAAAAGATACAGGTAAGATCTGTAGGCAAGGACTACATAACTCACAGGTAAAATATACAGGTAAGATCTGTAGGCAAGGACTACATAACTTACAGGTAAAAGATACAGGTAAGATCTGTAGGCAACCACCTAACTTACAGGTAAAAGATACAGGTAAGATCTTCAGGCAAGGACTACATAACTTACAGGTAAAAGATACAGGTAAGATCTGTAGGCAACCACATAACTTATAGGTAAAAGATACAGGTAAGATCTGTAGGCAAGGACTACATAACTTACAGGTAAAAGATACAGGTAAGATCTGTAGGCAACCACATAACTTATAGGTAAAAGATACAGGTAAGATCTGTAGGCAACCACCTAACTTACAGGTAAAAGATACAGGTAAGATCTTCAGGCAAGGACTACATAACTTACAGGTAAAAGATACAGGTAAGATCTGTAGGCAAGGACTACATAACTTATAGGTAAAAGATACAGGTAAGATCTGTAGGAAACCACACAACTTATAGGTAAAAGATACAGGTAAGATCTGTAGGCAAGGACTACATAACTTACAGGTAAAAGATACAGGTAAGATCTGTAGGCAAGGACTACATAACTTACAGGTAAAAGATACAGGTAAGATCTGTAGGCAAGGACTACATAACTTACAGGTAAAAGATACAGGTAAGATCTGTAGGCAAGGACTACATAACTTATAGGTAAAAGATTCAGGTAAGATCTGTAGGCAACCACATAACTTATAGGTAAAAGATACAGGTAAGATCTGTAGGCAAGGACTACATAACTTACAGGTAAAAGATACAGGTAAGATCTGTAGGCAACCACATAACTTATAGGTAAAAGATACAGGTAAGATCTGTAGGCAAGGACTACATAACTTACAGGTAAAAGATACAGGTAAGATCTGTAGGCAACCACCTAACTTACAGGTAAAAGATACAGGTAAGATCTTCAGGCAAGGACTACATAACTTACAGGTAAAAGATACAGGTAAGATCTGTAGGCAACCACATAACTTATAGGTAAAAGATACAGGTAAGATCTGTAGGCAAGGACTACATAACTTACAGGTAAAAGATACAGGTAAGATCTGTAGGCAAGGACTACATAACTTACAGGTAAAAGATACA